AAATTCTCTCGCAACATTTTTCCTATGGTTTTACACTGTGTGGTTTTACAATTTTTGGTCGCTATGGTCGCAGTATTTCTATGATATTTCATGTTTTTCTCTTTATTTTGCTCAGTGAGGTGCATGTCCTTGCTCAACAGCATTTTCTATATGACTCCTCTCAATATGTGTGTGTGTGTGTTTGTTCATGATTGGTTTCGCAGAAGTCTTATCTTTGCGTTGTTTTTGTGTGTTTATTTCAATTTGCACTTTAGTATGTGCAAATGATCGTAAATATTTTGGGTGATAATTGTTCGTTAATCGTCTAACCTACAGCCTTGACACATTAGTTTCGTGTCCTTTTCTAAGATTCTCCTCTCGGTCACTTTGAAATTCAACAATTCTCAATATGTTTGTAACCGTTTAAAACGAATTAAATTCGCTTAGGTTGGTGAATTTATTCTTTTAACAATCTCTGCTAGATTTCATCATGCTGTGTTCCGTAACCGATTATTTTGGTTTTATGTACATTTATGTCTGGGGTTAGCGATTTTTTTCGCTTAGCAGGATGGTTCGACAATGATAAATATGTATATTGTTTTAAGATCATTGGAATTTTTTGTGTTCTTTTTGGTTTTGTATTTAAACAATTTTTCTCATAATCTTTAATAATGACAAGGTTTTGAAAATTTGGAATATACAATTTATTTAAAGAAAATATAACCATAAAGTGAAACCGTGAAATTGAGAAGGAGTTTTCCAGAAAGTTTTATTTTATGGGTAGTAAATCCTGTTTTAGAGTCCTTCTAGATAGTGTAAACAAAACTTTAAACTTTCGGTTCTTCTTCAGATTTATGATCAATCCACTTTACCTGACGAATGCAAAATCCCTTCGACGCAATGAAGGCTTAATTAAAAACATGGCGTAAGCTCAATAAGAGTATGGTTCTTTGAGCTCTTTCAAACCAATATAACCTCTTATCAAAGAAAATTCCTCTGAACAGGGTATTTTCTACTAACTCCTAGAAACCAAGATGTTTTGTTAACTACAGGAAGGATATTCCCATAATACCTATTTTTTGTAGACCTTATTCTGTCATATTCAAAAGCACGGGATCCTTTACGGAGAGCATTTCGTGTCGCTATATCAGCATGCTCATTTCCTGGAGTATTAGCGAGGCCTGAAACAAAGAGCAATACAACTTTTTTCAGGTCAGACCATTTGCTCTTCCTTTGGATTAAGCAGACCATGTAGTCGGGGTGGTCATGATGTTGTAATGAAGAGATAACTGCCTTTGAATTACTCAATATAGCAATAATTGCATTTAGTTTATCCGAAGTTGACGAAATAATTTCATCAGTTTACTGTGTAACCTATTCTAGAAACATGAAAAGCGAATCCTTAAAGAGCATTTTCATTTCTTTATCATTCGCTTCTCCCTTGGAGGAAGCGGTTCTCTTAAGGAGATATTCCTGAAGCCTTCAAAAACTTTCGATATATTGTTGTCAATACTGCACTCAGAACCTTGCAGTGATCATGAACGTGTTAGTCCATATTTAATTGCCTTACCGATCTCCCCTTGTCGTAGTTAAACTATTTCGGAATTGAGGAGGTAATTCGGCTGCCGATTTCTTAAATAAATTTGAAAATGACGAAATAGCTTTTTCAATCTAGGGACAAGCATAACTGAAGTGCTCTAGCTGGCTCAATTCCGATACAATTATTAATTATTCTTTCAGATATTTTAATAATCTCAAGCGATCTAGGACGGTTACTAAAATGTATAACACAAGACTTACCTGAGTTAAAAAATAGCCCATGCTCTTTACATAAAGAATCAAACGGGAACAGTATATTTGTCAATAAAAGACAGACAATAAAGAACTCGTCTACAAATGGAAATACTGTGCAATCATTACATAAGATTTGATGTAAGTCCACCGTAAAAACGATAAAAAAAAGGTTGGGGATTGAGTGCTACCCTCAGCCAAACCCGTATTAGGATGCGTACAACACACTACTTTCCCAATATCTTATGAAATTACTGTAATTACTATAGAAATTTAATGCATTCATTGTGATTTATGAAAAATTCCAAAATCATTCACAATAATATAATTATGTTTTTTGAAACACCCTATACTGACAACATATGATTATCAGTATTCTACGCTGCAATGTTTACAAAATTTTCAGGGATTAAGGAAAAATAAATAGAAACAATAATTTCAAATTATTATTTTAAAGCATTATTTATTATAAAAAGCTAAAAAAACTTATTTATTAATATTTATATAACATTACAAGCATCAATTTTCAATATAATTAGTTTTATTTTTATATTGTGTTTAAATATTAAGGTGGCCTTTTTAGTTACCCCTTACAGGAATAGTAATGTATCTTAAAACCGGCAACACTTGGTGAACGAACAATACCCGCCCCGGATTGAGTGCATGATAATAATTACGCACTTCCACATTTCAGATTTCCCCTTTCTTTTTCTTCGACAAGAAGAAATTTTAACCAACAAAAAAGAAAGACAGAAGAAAATTTAATATTTATAGAAAGGGAATCTGTTACAACATTTTTATAAAACAAAAAACTAGTGCAAATACAAATCACGTGCAATGGCTGATCAACAAAAACCCAATGACAATGAACTCAACGAATTGTTAGACAGTAAGTTCTAAAAAATTAAATAAATAAATGATATCAGAGAAAATGACTTGCTGCAAACAAGTCCAACGATCACATTAAAATGTGTATAAATTTTCTACTGATGCGATGCGTCTACGAAAAGTGAATCTTTAAAAAATTATTGAAATTATGTAACTAAATTTTTCTATTTAATATTTTTAATTAGATGCTCTACAAGACTTTGCTAAAAATGATAAAAGTTCATCGAATGATGCTAATGCAGCTGCCACAGCAGGTGCAACAGGAGAAAGTGGTGAGCAAGCTGGTGATTCAGAGGAATTCTTTTTGTAAGTTTTTGTAACAATTAAATTATAATACAAATTATAAGTTTATTTTATTTTACAGAGAACAGGCAAAATTATTGGCCGAACGCATGAACACATTGTTCGGTGGCCCTGATACTCCCAGTGGTGATGTTGCTCCTTTGCCTCAAGATCCTGATCAAATTTTAGCTGGTTTCAAGAAAATGGCTGAAGCTGCTGCCATGACATTGCAGGGTGAAAACTCAGCCAGTGATGAAGAAGTTGCCAAATATTCCGATAGTATAGCCCAAGCTTTGAAAGGTTTGCAAGAGGGTACTGATAATTTGAATGCCCCCGTTTCAGAAACTGATGTCGCTCAAATGTTTGGCGGTTTGAGTTTGGAAAATGTAAGTAAATTTTCTGGAGTTATTTGACCCTAGGTCTATAGTTGACAAATATTGATCACTGTATGAATACGATTAAAATCTATATTCGAAAACATTGTCAAGTGAATATTGATAATGCAAGGAATTAATTGTTAATATAAATTAACTGGTCTTATTCAATATGGCTCTTGCTTTTGCTAACAGCCCTTAATCCCATATTAAAAAAAGTTACCTTCAGGAGAAGGGTATATACATATAAGTTTGTCGTTCCGTTTGTAATTTCCACAATATGATTTTTCGACTGGAGTGAAAAAGTCGACATTAATTCTTTTGTAAATTTATAAAAAATCTACATTTTTCTCCGATTTTGACTTCAAAGTATTTTTAATCTAAATAACTTCTTAATTTATGATAAAAAACTTTTTATTAATACCACTTTATTTTTAACAGGCCGGTACCGATGACGGCAACATGTTCCTACCTTTCATGGAGGGGATGATGCAATCACTATTGTCCGCTGAAATTCTTTTGCCCAGCATTAAAGAACTTTTGGAAAAATATCCCAAATACTTGGAAGAGAATGGTGATAAAATATCTGCCGAAGACAAAGAACGCTATGAAAAACAATTGGAATTGTATAAAATTATCGAAGGACATTTGGAAAGTGAAAATCCCAATGATTCTGCCAAGGAAAAACGTGAAAAATTCAAAGTTGTATTAGATGATATGCGTAAATTGCAAGAATACGGTCAGCCACCCGAAGAAATTTTAGCCGAAACTGCTGGTGATTTACCAATGTTGGATCCTGCTGCAGCGGGTGCCGCTGCTGGAAATCCCCAATGTCCCATGATGTAGTAGCTAGTGTGAATTTGTCGTTGTTGTAATTTATGCCCAAAATAATTTATTTTTAATTTCACATCTAAATGCGTTTTCTTCTTTTTATAATTTTTATTTAAATATTCTAGTAGTATTAGGCCTTTCTACTTGTTGTGGTTTTTCGGTTCTTATTTTTATTATTATTTGTCTAAACTTTTTTTTATTTACAAAAAAAAGTAATTTTTATTTAAAAAAAAAAGTTATTGTAAAAATGCTATAAAATGCATTTATTTAAATTTACATTTTGAAAAGGAATTATTATTTTTGCTAATGACAAAGGATTTTAAAAAGGAAATAAATATACAGATTCTATTTTCTTAAATAGAATGTTACGAAAGTATCGAAAGTAATATGTGCGAATTTTATTTATTTTTAATTTGGTTTGAAGGTTCGTTGTTAACTTTTTTACACTTTTTCCTACTTATTGGTCGATTATTTGTGGTTCTCTAACAAGATAGCCGAATTTTTGTCATTGTTAGGCCTCCGGTGGGTAAGTGGTTAGTGTTCTAGTCTTTTGGACCGGAGGTCGTGGGTTCTATTCCCACTAAAGACACTGGTAAAGAAGAGCACAACAGGGCCGATGAAGACTTAGGTGTGTTCTATAATAGAACTATACCAAGAAATAGACATTTTTCGACTATTTTACAAAGTCGACTTTCACACAAAAAGTCGATTGTCCTAAAGTAGATTTATAATCCCACCATGTTGACCACACTAATTGTAGCGTTGAAATGCAACTCTTTTACAAATTCACTTCTCAACTGATTTTCCAAATCAAAATTTGAAGAACTACTTATATAACAACAATGGAAGATTCCCCGCCAATGGAAAACTCAAGCAATTCTCAAATTGACCAAATCGTTTTGCCAGATTCTGAAGATTTAGATTGGGCCCAAATAACTTACGCTCTTAATTATAAACGTATATTATTCATAAACAATTACCGGACATGGTTGGATTTTTACACCGTGAATTCCGAAAATGGCTCTAAATATATGGACTATAGCCCGGAAGAACTCTGCCAACGTTTTTTACAACGTATATTATCCAATATTAACGATTACTGTTTAACTGATGAAGAGTTGCATTTACTTAATCTATTAGATCTGCATCCAGGTTTTCAAAGAACCGAAAATGGTTTCATTGCAATAAAGCAAATTGAAGAGCTCACATTTCCCGTTAATGAGACGGCTATAGAATTACTTATGACCAATAGTGGGGCATTGCATGGAGCGAACTTTGTTGCCGAACGGATTGATTCAAATGATCAAATTGTAATTGATGATTTTGAAGGACAACATAGTGTACACCGCAGATTTAATTTTAATGAAGAGAATGCTGCATTACTTTCGGTAATTTTGAGTTCAGACGAGGATTTGCCAAATTGTGAAGTTTTAACAACAGAGGAAATGCATAAGCGTCTAAAATTGGCTAAAAACCGATTTGAACAAAATGGCCAACAATTGGAAAATGTTAATATTTCCATGGATGATTTGCTAAAGAAACTAAAAGCAATAAATGATTTAAAATCAGCCATTTCCAAACTAGTGGATAAAAGTATACGCAACTGTTAAACTTACTAATTTTAAATCTTAAATAAAGAAATAAACTTTTGCTTCATTCTTTTTACAAAATGTTAATAAAATGTATTTAAAAATTACATTGTTGAAACTTAAAAACAAAAGAAATCGGTCCTAAACACAACTACAAATGGAAACGACGTCTGGAGGCTTCCAGAGCATGACGTTTGTTCGTTATAATCCAGGCATAATCACCAGTTTTGCTATCAAAGGTACCTTCCTGTAAAGAACGCAATTTCAATGTGAAACGGGGACCCAATTCACGCAATTTAACACGTTTTCCCTCCTTGGTGAATTCATAGCGATGATGACGGAAGAATATGTAATCACGTTGATTATGGAAAGTAACAGCACGACGTCCCTTAAATTCGGGATCATGATGAAATAGAGCACCCAACATACGACCCACCGTCAAACCCAAACGTGTGGTAAAGTTGTTAAGTATAACTTCAGGACGATGTTTGGTAATTTCTTTGTGATCTCTTTTCATGTCGGATGTTAACTTGACATTGGATACTTTAAACAGGGCAGTAGGTCCATTGGGTAAATGTATAACGAGTAAACCATTGGGTTTGCGTCTATCCTCATTGATGATAACAACATCGGTGTATTCTTCGCGTATAGCCGACTTACAGATTTTCTTAACGGATGACTTATTGCGGATTTTCACCAAAGCATTGGGAAATATACGTCCCAATTCCAAACCAAATTTACGGGTTTTTGTCACCGGATTATCGGCAAAAGTAATCAGAACTTTGGGTTCGTAGGAGCGTTCAAAATACGAACTAAAATCATCCAATTGTAATTCTTTGCGTAATTCCTCATTGTCTGAATCATCCAAGTTATTGACTGTGGTCTGATCTTTTTCTCTTAAACTTTCTATAGTGTGACCGGGATTTCTGGGAACGCCGGCTTTGCGTCTAGCTCTACGTTCTTGCATTTTCTTTTTATGCTTTTCCTTTTTCATTTTACGAAACAAAGCCGTTCTTTGCTCCTTATTACGCATCAAACTTAAGGGATTTATAATAGGCATTCTAACTTCAGGTTCTTTATCGTCTTCCTCATCATCATCCTCATCGTCGTCGTCATCATCACCACCATCTTCCCCTTCACTGGAGTCATTTTCTTCATTACTTTTATCTTTTGCTGACAATTTTCTTGCATTTTTACTTGTTGTTGGCTTTTCATCATCCATTTCTTCATCATCAGAGCTATCGGTAACAGGTCCAACATCACCGTTCTCCATTTCTTCATCATCATCGTCTGAATCCCCCAACATGTCGTCAATTTGTTTATTATCATCCTCCTCTTCAAAACTAGAATCACTATCTGGTTCAATGGGTTTTTTCTGTTTAACTTGTTTTGTTTTCATTTTGTTTTGTTAAAAATTGCTAAATTAATGCTTTCTTATGATAAATTAATAATTTTATTTCAGTTTTTTTTTTCACTTTTCTCGTTCTGTTACGTGCACGTGTTGTTATTTTTTTTAACAATATGATTTCGTTTGGTATGTTCAGTGTGAGTATAAACAACAAATTTCTTTCACAGCGTTGCATAAATAAGTACATTTGTTGATTATGTAGTAAATAGGTATGTTCACGCAATTTTTAGAAAAAATTATCCGAATCCAACAAAATTTGAAATCCGTAGACCAAGTGCACATTTCTAAAGGATTAAGGAATGCTGAATGGGGAATCTGGCTTCATAATCTCTCAATCATATCAGTTTTATGTGTCGTAAAAACTGTAAAGCCCAATATTTGAGGCCTGATAACAACGGCAAGACAACTTCGTTTATAAAATGTGTTATATTATCTGAAATCCAAATCCGTCGACTATAAAATAAAGGTTTAACCTCCGTCATATCTTCATCATTCTTGGAGATATCTTAACTTTATGCTTGAAGTTACTTTTAATTAAAAAAGTGGTATTGCCTTTATTTTACTGTAAAAACTTTTCGAACGATATATCTGCAAATACAATTGTAATTTTATTTTTGTTCCAATCCATAGGTTAAGATATCTCGAAGAAAGATGAAGATATTAATTTTTTTAAGTTGAAAGACAGGTATTTCGGAATTTTTGCGCTGTAATAACGACTCAAATATGACCAATAACAAGGAATTTTATAGCACTGATATTTGAAAACCTGATGTGATAGAGAAATTCTGAGATAACGGATTAAGCGATACTCTATCCTTTATCCTTGGTCTCTGGGTTAAAAATTTGTTGGCCTGTTTCTAATGATGTATATCTACAAGACAATTATTTTAGCCAATTTTTTGTGTAAATAAAAACTAAACCTCAACTTTAAATATTTGTTCACAAAATTTATTTATTATTTTTTTATTCATTTTAATATTTCAATACAATTTCACTATTAAAAATGTTTATTTCTTTATATAATTCCATACATTTAATTAAGTCATTTATTTTTTATGCTTAATTTTATGTTTATTGTACTTATTTTATATATTCAAACAAAATATCAAACTTTTAATAAAAAAATGTTAAATGAAATAAAACAAATATGGTTAAAATAAAAAAATATATTACAAAAAAATTGTATAAACAAAACACAACCATTAGTATGTATATAAAAAAAATATATCAAGATTTTGAAACAAATTTTAGCTAAAAACTAATTTAGGGCGAAACAAAAAAAGGATAATTTTCAAAAAATATATATGTATTTAAAATTTTACATTAAATTAGAATATAAACAACACCAAAATAACTTAAATACCTTAAAAAATATATTTTATTAACAAAGTATTAATAATTCATTATAAAAGTGAGATTCTTAGAAAATTAAGAACAATAGGAAGGGGAAGAACTAATATCGAAATAAACCTAACTACGTATTTTCTTTTGTTGGTGAGAGAAATAGAGAGAGAAAGGAAGAGAGCTGCAGTTATAGTGAGAGACAGAGATATGTTTTCTTTATATAAATATATAACACTAAATAAATGTTTAAGCACAAAAACTAAAAACTAAATAATTTTAAAATTACATAGATTAAAAAATAAAATAAAATAATACATTTACAAAATACACATTTTGAGCAACTAATTTATTTTTTTTTAAATTAGTTTTTATATGTTTTACTCAGTTCTTATTAAAAATTATGTACATTTTACAAAGGTTTTATAAATTAGTTGTTATTTTTGTTTTTTTTTTTTTTTTGTTCGATTTGTTAACATTTTATTTATATTTTTTAAATAAATTATTGTTATTTATTATGTTTAGTATGTATTTTGAATTTGTGTTTAATTTTTTCACTTTTTTTTCGAGTACAATTATTGTATTGGTTATAATTTTTGTTTGTTTCTTTTTTTCTTACGATTTCTTATAAAATTGTGTTTATATATTGATTGATTTATATATTCATAGAATTGACGAATTATATGGTTTTACAAAGAGATTATGAAATTATCATTTTTGTTAAGAGATTATTGCACTTTGAAACTTATACTTAGAGAAAGTCTTAAAAAAAATGCAGATAAAAACATTTTGATTTACTTGCTGTCAAAAAAGGGGAAATATGGAAGTGGGGAAATCATTTCAAACCAGAGAAATTCTATAATTGTTGTTTAATAATGTGGTTTATGCAAATAATAAAAGTACTATAATTTTAGTTAGAAATATTATATAGAAATATCTAGCTCTCGGTGTTATTAAATATAGATTTTGAGAAATTTCCAATTACATTTCAGAATAAACTACACATTTCCATCATTCCTACTTGATTTGAATTGAAAACACATATGACGAAAAATATTAAAACAATTACTGTTAGAACACTTAAAATACACACACTACACAAATTTTCAAAAAAAAAAAAAATGTTATTTTGAGAATTGTTAAATTCAACATGGGTTGCACAGTTCTTTCTTACAAAATATGCTTAAAACTAAGTAAATATATTGTGAAAAAAATATACAAAATTAAAAAAAAAAATAAAAATTGGTTTTGATTACTTACATAATATTTAAAAAATATCATTTCACTAGATTTTCTAAAAGGGGTTTAAAGAACGCCTTGACTATGCGCTGTGGTTTGTTTACCTTTACGGGTAATTTGTTCATTTTTGCTTTACACCATTTTTAATTGCATTTCACACCTTTTTAATAGTATTTAATTTAAGTTTATAATTGTATTTCTGAAATTTGTAATTGTATTTCAAAATTTCCGATAGAATTTCAGACATTTTCAATTATATTCGGAATTTTCTAATTGCATATCAATAATTTCCATTTGAATTTTAAAAATTTCCAAAAAATCCAATTTAAATCCAATTCTTAATGTACATATTTCTGAAATTTTCAAATTAAAAAGTTCTGAAACATAATTGCAAATGGTGTCATACTTACTTATTTGTGTATGCACTCGTGTATTTGTCTTTTTGTTATAAATTCCATTTAAATGACTACTACAACAACTATTTCTTGTTAGCCAAGATTATATACTGGCAATGCTTCTTCAATGGCACCTTGACGGGCTTGTCTCGCCGCACCACCACCGCCGGCACCACTACCAGCGGCAGGCGCCGAATTACCTCTTGGTGGTCGGGTATAATGACGATTGTTAACTTGATAAAGACGTGGAGGATAGGAAATTAATGTGGAACCCAATGCCATACTAAGAGGAGCTTTATAGCGTCCCGGTAAACTCACGAATACCGTGCCAACTGCTGCTAAATTATCCGATGTAGGTTCTATGGCAATCAACAAAACCTCTGGCAGTTGGGAGTGTGCTGTATTGTGTTGATGATGACGTGACCGAGCTCCCGTGGCACTGCGTACAACTCGATTCGAAGACGTTGAAGACGAAGTTGTGGGATGAGGACTATCGGTATCAAATGAATTGGAAGCTAAGAATACATAGGCAAAGGGTCGTTTGGCTAAATGCAATAATTCTACCACATGTTGTCTACGGGCTCGGCGTATATCGGCTGTTTGTTTTACTTTCCATATTACCACACAAACGGCCAGGAATAAAAAGAAGCAGGAGAAAAACACCGAAAAGAAAACAAACAAATCAATATGCAACTGATCCTGACGGAAAACCACAGAACCATAACTTGGCTCAGGTCCAGAACTCGCCCTCAAGGCTATAAAGAATCGTGTAGCGCTTAAGTTGTGAGCATGTTGCGGTAGTGTTAGAACCAAACGATTTTTCAAACCAAACAATCTCAACAGCGTGTTACAATGATTTAAGGTAACATGTGTGCTCAAATCCTTGGCATGTTGATCTTTAACCGAAAAACTATGACCACCATGACTCTTGCAGTCTTGTATGTGTGGCATATAGTAGCTATTGCGTTTATCGGTCATTACTAGTTTTGAAAAGCTGCTGGTGGCACTGCTACTCGAATTGTCGTACTTTGGTTGAGCCACATTTAGGGGATGTGAACGTTTCATTTTGGGACCCCAATTATAACGATTGTCTAAATAGATTTCATGATAGCCCGTAGTTTCATTCGTTTCCACAATAAACGAATCATCTTGTGGTGACATATAAACATCCAGTTCACCTTGAGTGACATCGATAATGACACGTATATCAACGTTCATAAAGCGTGGCTGGATGACAAAGAAAACTGTTTGTCCAGGTTTGAGAGCGGCTGGTTTCGCTTTACATTCCTCTGTGGAATAGAACATTAAATATTTTATATATGTATGCAAATTGCAAAAGTTTTACAAAATTGTAGTGAAAATTCCTTCTTAACTTACCTATAGGTTTAGCATCGAAACACATGCGTGACTCTACGGTTATTTGCTTATAGCACTGATGACCATCTATGGGATTGCCGGCATACGAATCACGACATTTTGAGCATTGAACACTCCAACAAAGATGAGCCGAATTTTTACCACCACCCGCCGTACAGGTGGCATCACTTTCTGTATTATTGCCACAGTTACATTTCTCACCGGTAACAGGATCACATATATTACCATGGCCATGACACTGACACGGCCTGCATTCTTTGCGATGATCTTCCGAACCCCTAAAATAGCCTACAATGCAAGTATCACAACGTTCGCCAGCCGTATTGTTGGCGCAACGCAAACAGGTGGCATTTGCCAAAGGCCCTTCTGGAAGATTTAGTTCTAGTTCGGCTCGTGTCATATTAAAGAATCCGGGATCGGAATCATGAGCTATACAGGAATCGGTGTGGCCATTGCAATATTCATGACAAGGAACGCAGGCTCTACCCTCACGTGGATCGCCCACAAATAAAGGTTGACATTTTTCACATTGAGCACCCATAGTGTTGTTGTGACATTCAATACATTCGTCAAGAAGATTTGGACCTTTACAATTCGAGTGTCCATTGCACAGACATTGGATACTGCAATTTGCTCCTACGTAACCGAAATCACATTCACACTTATTTGGCGAAATACAATTGCCACGCACACAGCCTTGTGTACACACAGGTATACAAGTATCATTTTCAGACTTATAACCTTCTCCGCACTCACAGCGATAGCCGTTAGCAGTATCTATACATCTTTCCGAGATGGGATGGCAATGGTGATGTCCATTTGTGCATTCATTTTCTATGGGACATTTAACATAATTCCAGGTGACCACATCAGCTGGCGTTAATTGAGAATCATTGCGCAGCGAAGCGTATATAAGATCACAAGTTGAACCTGAAGGATATTCTTGTTTATTCTCCAATGAGCCTTCGGTACAAATGCCATCACCATTAAAGCCCTCTCGGGCACACCAACCGCAATGGGCATGTTCCAAACAGGTAGAACATTGTGTATACACATGACACGGTTCAGGGCAGTGGTCGGTTTCATTTGTTTCCAACACTAAACCGCAAACACCGCCAGCACATAAAAGCGGTTGAGTTTGTGGCGAGAGACATGTGTTAAGCATTGTAGACCATTTGCAATCCTTGGGTTGCTCACTATCCATATTGGTTAAACAATTCGAACAGTTGTTATAATGATGACAGGGTTGTGGGCATTGTCCTATAATTCTATATTGATTTTGTTCTACCAATTCTTTGGTTATGCATTCTATAATGCCCAATTCATTTTGAGCCCATTCGCAGTTTTCATTTAGAATGCACGACTCACAGTGTAGTGTATGACATTGCGGTTGGGGACACAAATTCAGTAGACCTACACTAACTTCTTTAGTACACCATGTACTGCGCCTTTCGCAGTCTACTCCGGCTGGTACACATCTACCCTTTATGCCGCACTCATCACACCACTGACACACAGGTGTTGTCTCTACATGAGAAGGCCATGATGCCAAGCAGGCGGTACAGGTAGAGAAACTTGAGCAATTACGCCTAGCCATCCAGGCATCATCGCAAGCAGCTCCGTGGTTGTATACTAAAGTACCATTTCCATTGTTGCAGATATTACTGTGGCCATGCGAGAAACAGTAAGATGATGTTACAAAATTCGCCGACACTGTACAGAAACTACAGCCCATATAATGGCGACACAAATATTTACCGGCACTCCAAAGTTGACAGATGTCATTAGGTAAGACAATTTTCGTGACATGACTTTGAGCGGCACTGCCATCCCAACCTCCAATAACATAGATGGCATTGTTGTCATGGTCCAATGATATATCTTCAGCATAAGTAGAGGTCTGTAAACTGCCCACAATTTGTACATCTTCCGTTAGACGAATCCATTGATTGCAGTTGTAAACGTAGGCTATTAAAACATCACTCGCATTATAGGGGAAATTGCGTCCCCCATATATAATCATATACTGATCGGTGGTGACAGCCGAGTGGAAGTATCTGGCTCGGGGCAATAGCGAATCCGGTCTATTTAGATCCCTAAAGGGAGGTAATTCAGTCCATGTCATCTTTTGCAAATGCAAAGCATACAACTTGTTCTGCGGCTCAGTGGAATAGCCACCAAATACATACATTATATGTTTTTCACTGTGATACACTGTAGTATGACCATACAACACTGGCATTCTAACACCCAAAGCCAATAACTGCTCCCATCTAAAAGTCTCCAAATTAAATTCCCACAACTCCAACTGACGTGATTTATTTAAGGTCATACCACCGATAAGTATTAAAGATTCCCTTTCATTATTACGCGTGTAGGTGAGAGTATGTCCCGCTAAGGCAGGAGGCTTAATGCGATGACCCGTTAAATCAAATTCCGACCATCTTTGATTTTGTATGGAAAATTGCCAGAAATCAGCTAAAATTTCGGGCTTAGGAGCAGAAGACAAGCCGGTAGTGGTAATGCCTCCATAAATAAATATTGTTTGTTTTTTAACATAAATTTCAGCTGCATGAAAGTAACGTCCCAAAGGCATTTTATCTTCTGGTGTTGACTCTACGGTAACCTGCATCCAAGTACCATTTTTTGTATCAAACTGACGAAAATCGTTGAGTGGACCATGAGAGGGCGAATAACCACCAAACATCCATAAAGAACCTCGCCTATCAGCACAGACTGTGTGACCAAAACGTGGTATAGTTTTTCGTAAATGTTCATAAGACTCCGAAAGTAACATTGTGTTAAATAGTTCGGTAACAGTTATTTGATTCAACTTAATGGCGGTACCACAATCTTTACCACCCCATCCCTGGTTGCAAATACATCTGCCATAATCAGTGTCACAATAACCCTGCATACGTTTAGCATTACAATTACGCGGACAGATTTCAATTTCACATTTGGCGCCTACATAGCCAGCTGGGCACACACATCTCTGCTGGTCATCACAGATATGAGGATGTAGACAGGTGTTGGCCACGCAATTCTTTACCGTGTACAAGGCATTAAAGCCAAAGTGTTTTCTTAGACCACCGCCTTGTTTGTAATACACTGTAACATGACTTGATCTGGCTTCTATAATGTGGGAGGAAGTATAGGGATTGCACACAACCGATATTAATTGATTTTGCTGCGATACCCCTGTTAAATCGGGCAAACTATCGTATATGTAAACGGCATTATCATCACAATCCATAGCCAATGAGTTCCATTCAAATTCCACTTGTAGTAATGACTTTTCAGCTTGCAAAGTTTTGGGTTCCAAAATCCATAAACATTCCTTAACCTCTAGTTTTGCACCCCAGGGCGATTTATAGGCCTTATAGGAACCGATGCCACTGCGTCCTATATCACGCAACATGCCACGTGACTCACAACGATAATAACATTGTCCACCATCTTTGGGATCACCATAAAAACCTGGCGAACAACGATCACATTTAATGCCCTCTGTATTATCCTTGCAATAACATTCCCCATTGTTGACATTACATATGCCCAAATCTTGATTACCGTGACCATTACACTCACAAGGCGTACAACCTGCTGCCGATGTCGCATTGCCGTAACTTCCCTGACGGCAGCGTTCACAACGTTCTCCTTCAGTCCAGGCTTGACAAGAATCACATTTGCCCACTCGTTCATTGCAGGTGGAGTGGTTGTGACAACCACAGTTGATAGAACAGTCCGCACCTGTCCATCCCAGCTCACAGCGACACACATAGTCTGGGGCACCCGAACAATAGCCATGGACACAGGACTCAAAACAAGTACGCAAGCAAGTTAGACGGCCATCACCAACAAAACCTCGGCGGCAATGGCAATTGTACGAACCATGAGTATTTGTACATTTGGCTTCTTTATGACAATCGTGCAGACCCAAGCCGCATTCATCGACGTCTGGACACTGGGCATAAGCCCATTCAGCATCATGAACAGATGAGCTATTCAAAGCCAAAGAGCAGTTACCAAAAGGACGACTAAAATCACCCTGCATACATTTGCCTTCGATGGGATTATCACGATCGAAACACCAGCCACAACTCAGGGTACGTAAACAAGTTGTACAGTTACGATATTGGGCACAAGATTTGCACTGCTGCTTGGGAGGCGCTTGCTGATGTATGGGTATAAGGGCGGCGGGTCTAGTATGTTGTATACTATTCGTTTCCTCTGGCGTATGAAGATTCACCGATTGATCTAACCATTCGCGACACATGCCGAATTGATATTCACTGGTATAGACAGCAAAACTAAAACAGGCCGACCTAGCTTCACACCAAACACAACGCCCCCTTTCATTTAGGCAATCATGACAATTCGTCCTTAGACGACATTGTACCGGACATTGTTGCAGCGAACGAACACTATTCTCCGACTTACCCAGGCGAGCACAGCGTGCCTCCTCCGCCCACCACTCACATAAATTCGAATCCACACACTCCTCACATGAAACATAATTCGAACAGTTGGCACAGTGACTGGGTTGATTGATTAAGTATTCCCACTTTACGGTTGTAACATTCCCGTCTTGCACTTTTAAACTGCAAGCATCAGTTTCGTTAACATTTTTCGTCATACATTGAGATTTTAGAGAACACCAAGCGCAAGCATTATCGGTTAAACACTGCAAACAGTTGGTGTATAATGAACAATTCTCTCCCGAGTAATACGGTTCTAAATATTCAAAGGTAAATGCATTAAGATTGCCGTGGAAGATATGTTGCAATTCCATTTTTGTTTTTTGATAAGTATTGTAAATATTGTTCAAACCAATTCTTCGTCGTGCTTGAAAATCTATAAGGAACGGCTGTTCAGTGCTGGGTATTTCTACATTACTACAATAGGATTGATTCGAGGACTGTTTAGTCAATTCCTTAAGAGCATTCAAATCTCGTCCAAGGCCAGCTTTTAAGACGGCATTTGAGTAGCTGGTGCAGACTTGTATTTCCGTAGGTTCTTCCTCCCATTGCTTTTGCGGGCGCACGAAACCCAATAGTCTGGCAAGCATTTCACCCTCCATTTTCTGTTCGTATTGGGTGGTGGGTGTAGGTGAAGCAAAGTCCACCATTGTAGCATTTACTATGGCCACAAAATCGGGCATTGTTAAGTTGACAGGAAAATGATATTTAATATAGGTTAAACCGGGTCTACGATCATTTTGTGTACACTGCGAGGGCTGGCGTATTTCAGTGCCCTGTTCACCCCACCAGCCGGGACTGTGTGAGGGGGTATCTTCTCCACATATGCCATAATTATCATCACGATGATGGCATTTGGCATTCTGTACACACCAGGTGCATTCATTCAAGCCCAGCTTGCTGGCCACCGATAAATAATTGTCGCTTCCCTCTGATGTCTTCAGCCATTGAGTACCATGTACTAGACAGGAGTGACAATCGCCCAAAGAAGGACATATACCTGGACAGCGGGATGTCTGCAAATTACTGGTACAATTGGCGCCAATAGTACGACCATAACAACTACTATCCGCCGAACACCAACCACACTCGGGATTCGATAAACAGGCTGTATGTGAATTGTGATAACGACAAGCCATTTCTGGGTTATAGCCAAATATGCCATTTGCTCGTAGCACTTGGGGCAGTTCGTAGGCAAATAAATCGGCATTTACATTACCATGGTAACCGCCCACTATAAGTAGAGTATTATTTTTACGCAAAGCCGCAGCATGAGCAAATACTCCCTGCTTTTTGGGATAAATATTGTCCTCTGCCGATACCTCTTGATTTATCCAGATGTGGCATGATAAATGATACCAATACATTTGATTGTCATAACATATTTCATCCTTATTATGGCGGTGAGTGTAACCACCAAAAACAATCATATAATTGCCACTAACAGTTGCTGTATGAAAGGCTCTTTCTCTGGGTATATTTGTATCTCTTAAAGCTGTGCGCGGATATAGAATTTCTGTCCAATGTAATTTATCCAATTGAAAGGCAAATATACGATCAGATAGTTTTGAAAAACGTGCCAGACTTGTCATTATGCCACCAAATACTATTAAGGAATTTGTAGCCTTATAATATACTGTGGTGTGAGCTGCTAAACGTACATCTAATTTTTTGCCACCTCTGGGATGTACCAGCTCCCATTCAGATTCTAAATTGTTGTCACTGTCAGTGCTTGTAATAGGCCAATGTATTCGATATATACTAAAAATAAATTAAAGAATTAAATGAAATCTTGAATTCATAAGTAGTGTGGGGGAATATTTACAAAAAATAAAAATTTACATTGTTGTTTTTTATTCATGTTTTAATATTGCATTATTTAAAAGCTTTTAAGTTCAGTAAAACTATTATTTATTATTAAATGCATAAATTATTTCAGATTCGAGTTCGAATCCTATACAAGTTTAATTGCAATGAGCTAAAAAAACACTCTCCATTCTTATCATTTTCAATACTTTTGTATTAATTGTAAACATCAGCTATTTAACACAAAAGCTTCTTAGATTGAATTAGATCAAATCCTTATCAGTGCCTATTCTCTGTTAGCAATATAGTATTTATTTTGTTATGTTCACTTTGTTTCCTTCTAGCTTATCATATTCTCATTTGTAAGTAAATGTTATCTCCTTCATTAAATTATAACAAAAAACTCCCACTTGTATTAAAAACAATTATTCAACTTACTCTGACGAAAATTCTCCAGTTTGTAAACTGCCACCAAACAAATATAAATAATCTCCAGCATAAGTTAATGTATGACGTGCCACTGGTTGAGGTTTCAATTTCGACTGCAAAGCCATTTGTTTCCATTTACCACCATTTTCGGTGCGATTATAAAACCATAAATCATTAAAGAAACTACCATTTGCCTGTTTGCCACCAAATATAACAAACCCTCCTGGTACAACCGTGGCCGCATGACCATAACGACCATGCGGTTTATGATCTGTAACTTCTTCTAAAATATCCTCCAAATATTCGGACAGTTCTTCATCGGTTGAGTTAACACTCACTGTGGTCAGCAGCTGTGAACTACGTGTACGACGTTGATGTAAATTTGATTCAGCTAAAGTATAAAGAATATTACGAAATATTGAAACATCACTATTGAGACCCCAAAGTTTGGCCTCCTCTTCGTTTTTATGCTGTAAGACGGCTTTGAGTAAGGTATGATCGATTTTTGGTTGATGATAATAATGACGTCGATTTTGTAATGCTATGCCCCATTCATCAACCCATTGGCTGGTTTGAAAGCGGTAAATCTGGAGGAGTAATGTGTTATAATGTTTAAAATTTAGTTAAATTAGTTTTTTTCTGAAAATACCTGTAAAGTGCTAATGACATTGTTAAGATCATAACCACCAAATACATATAGTGCATCTTCCTCTTCAATGTAGACTGCAGTGTGTGCAGCACGTGCTGTCATGCCTTCAGCATCGGTAGCCATCCAGCGCCAATTACCTCCTGGGGGATTTTCATATAAATCACATAATCTACCGCTGTAACCCTAAAATGTTATAAATATATACATATGTATGTAGATATTGTGTTTTCTGGAAAATTCGTGTCTTAAACAATGGTTAGTATTGAAAGCTAAAAATAATTTACAAACTCCATAGATTATAACCATACATATTTGGGGATAGCAGAGAAAATGTTGCATATATAGAGGCTGCAGATACCGTCATTTGAAGCAACGCTTTCAGGACATTTATGTTAAACCATTGTTTACTGTATAATCTATGCAAATCAATATGAAAAAATGGACTGATTTTGGTATAGTTTAATATGATTGCTGCATACCCAAAGCATTTCTTAAAGTTTTAGTATAATTCCATTCGGACTTAGGTATGGAGGCTATGTAAATTTATTTCGGTCTATTTTATTATATATTGACTTTAACAAACCATCAGACTTGAATTCAAGAATCTTCTTGTTTTAAATTTTTCGCTTGCACTAATATGAAGACTACCACCAATACATTATGATATTTTGCAATTTCACTTACCTTTTCACAATGGCAAACTCCTTTAAGGCATTTGCCTCTTCCTTGTGATTCACCGCATTTATTAGGACAAGCTTCATCTTCACAATCTGGACCCACCCATTCACCATGGCACACACACTGATGACCCACACATTTGCCATGATTGTGACAGTTGTTTAAACAGTTCGATATGTAATAAGATGCACGAAATCCATCTAATACATAATTCGTATCACTATACATGAGTATTAACATCTACGAATAAAATAAACAAGAAAATTAAATCACAACATAAATATTTAACCCATAGTAACATACACTGCCACTACGTGCCACCAAACGCTGGGGCTGTGTACGTCCACTAAAACTGCCAAGCAGTGTTGAGTTAAAGGAGTCACCATCATACACATAGATATAGTCATAGGAGCACTCAGTGCCCATACTGTGAAAAGTCAAGGTTATGAACTGACTATCATTGCGTGCCTTTATTAGCCATTCGCAGTGAGAATCTTGGGTATAGTTAAAGCCGGCTGGTCCGTCGCTTATCTCACCGTATTCAGCAGTGAAAACTTTACGGCTACGATCACAGGGAGCATGATAATGCATTTGTTGTTGACTGGGTACTAATGATATACGTTCTGCTAGCACTGTCTGCTGCTGTTGTTGAATTTTTAACAATGCTAGCAGGCATATTAAGATTAAGAGTTTAATTGAACGCATTTAAAGCGTTTGTGGATTTGTGAAATTTGTGTTTTTTTAATTAATATATACAATTTTTGTGTTAAACTAGTTTCGTAAATGCAAAAAACAAGTTTTTCGAAAACATTTTTTGTGGCTGTATTTTTGTTTTTTCTTTTTAATATTTTCTTATTTCATTCGTTAGCGGAGCACCCCTAGGGGCGCTTTTTGTGTATAAAATTTTTACACACAATTTTTAGCACATAAATTTCACTAGTAACTGTTAGAATACGGATAAAACTTCATATTGTCTATAAACTTTAAGGTATAAATAACATTTTAATGCATTTTGTTTAATTTTTAATATAAAATATACTATTATAATTGTAAAATTTTCTTGTTTACTGGAGAAATGGAAAATTTTTGTGCTTGCTAAAAAAACTCCCTCAACTGTCAAAATTTTTTTGCATTGAAATTATTGTGATTGAAGGTCTGCAGGGTTGTGTTTACTAGAATAACCAATACAAAAACTGAATTTTGTGAAAACTATCATTCGATTGAACAGCAAATGCAAAACAAAACGAATTTATGCAAGGTGAAGTCATTTCAACAGCTGATTGTATTTTGTTTATGAATAAAACAATTCTTTGTGAATATTTATTTATTTTCGTCCCTTTTGTCTTCTTTGTCATTTTTTATAAGAAAAAGTTTACGTTTTTGGATTTTTTAAAATATGCTCTTTCGACTAATTCAACAAAATTCGATTGTGCGTATTTTCTTTACCCTACAAAAAATCGTCTTTTCTACTTTTTGTAATTTTGAAAAGTTTACTTTCGACTATTTGCAATTAACAAAATATATAGTAGATTTTTCGACCTTTTAACTTTATATAATTTTGAAATTGTATACTTTTCGGACTTTTTTAATATCAAATTTCTATTTTTTCCAACCTTTGTCGCTATTGTTTACTTTTTATATTTATATTAAAAGTTTTGTCTTGTTTATAAATGAAAAAAAAAAACATTTGCAATAAAAATAAAAGTATTATTGAATTAATTGTTTTCTTAGTCTTAGAGTCTTAGTCTTAGATTTTAGGATAATTTTGTTTTTATGTACATTTGTAACAAAAAAACATATCTGCCTGTAAGAAACTTAGATTTTAATTATCTTTTTATATCGACTTTCCGTCTTTGATTTACAAACTCGACTTTTTTTAACAAAATAATCGACTTTGACTTTTTTCAAAAAAAGTCGATTTATAGAAGCAGAAGTATTGTTTTCCAATGGTAACACTGAAAAATCGCTGGAATTCCACATGCATAGTGTTGTCAACTTTAAAATGTATATAAAAACACCAACATAAATTATTAAAGTATTTTAATAATTAAATAAAATTTTATTGTTAAATTGTTATAAATTAAAACAATGATATAAAATGTGGTTAATGTATAGATTCTTTTCAGAGCATTGGCTTTTATACCGACATTTCTACAAAAAACATAGCTCCTAACATCTATAATAATTCCCCCCATAGATTCATATTAAAATCGCTCTATTTGACAAAAATAGCTATATAATCAACATTGATTTTTTGCTAGACATTGATTCAAATGACCTTCGTTTGACATTCAACCGTTAAGTGACTTGTTCAGAAAATTTTTGTATCCCATTGAAGCGGCAGACCGAACTTCAATTCGTATCCTTAAAGTTGTCAGCAGCAGTAATTTTCTAAAAATGGCTTTAAACAAATTAAGCATTGAAAACTTGGATTTGGCCGGCAAGCGGGTATTAATGAGGTAATTACATAGTTTTAGCTGCAGATTATGGACGTGCTTTTATTGAGGACAAAATTGATTTTGATGTAATCAAATTTTTATTCTTTCCTTAATTTTTTAGAGTTGACTTCAATGTCCCCATTAAGGATGGTAAAATCACCAGTAACCAACGTATTGTGGCTGCTTTGGACAGTGTAAAATATGCTTTCTCCAAAAATGCCAAATCTGTTGTCTTGATGTCCCACTTGGGTCGTCCCGATGGCAATAAGAATGCCAAATATACTTTGGCCCCTGTTGCCGAAGAATTGAAGAAGTTGCTTGGTAAGGACGTTACATTCCTAAACGATTGCGTTGGTGCTGAAGTAGAAGAAAAATGCAAAAATCCCGCTGAAGGCAGTGTCATTTTGTTGGAAAACTTGCGTTTCTACGTAGAAGAAGAAGGCAAGGGTGTTGATGATAGCGGCGCTAAGGTTAAAGCTGACCCTGCCAAAGTCAAGGCTTTCCGTGAAAGCTTGGCTAAGTTGGGTGATGTCTATGTCAACGATGCTTTCGGCACTGCTCATCGTGCCCACAGCTCCATGATGGGCGAAGGCTTTGAAAAGCGTGCCGCTGGTTTGTTGCTTAACAAGGAACTTAAATATTTCTCACAGGCTTTGGATAACCCACCAAACCCCTTCTTGGCTATTTTGGGTGGTGCTAAAGTAGCTGATAAGATCCAATTGATTGAAAATCTCTTGGACAAGGTCAACGAAATGATCATTGGTGGTGGTATGGCCTTCACCTTCTTGAAGGTATTAAACAACATGAAGATTGGCTCCTCTTTGTTCGATGAAGAAGGTTCCAAGATTGTTCAAAATTTGGTTGAGAAGGCCAAGAAGAACAATGTTCAACTTCATTTGCCAGTTGACTTTGTTTGCGGTGACAAATTCGCCGAAGATGCTGCCGTAAGTGAAGCTACCATTGAAAGTGGTATCCCTGATGGTCACATGGGTTTGGATGTAGGCCCCAAAACTAGAGAAGCTTTTGCTGCTCCAATTGCTCGTGCTAAACTTATCGTTTGGAACGGTCCCCCCGGTGTCTTTGAATTCGCCAACTTCGCCAACGGCACCAAATCCATTATGGATGGTGTTGTAGCTGCCACTAAAAATGGCTGTGTCTCAATCATTGGTGGCGGTGATACCGCCTCATGCTGTGCTAAATGGAATACCGAATCTTTGGTATCCCACGTCTCCACTGGTGGCGGCGCTTCCTTGGAATTGTTGGAAGGCAAAACCTTACCCGGTGTTGCCGCTTTGAGCAATGCCTAAATACAAGGAAACCTACTATTAAATTATTTTATTATTAAGCACAATTTTAATTGGAAGCATATTACATTGGCATACGATACTGCCGGGTTTGCCTGTATGTAAGCAGTGGTACCTCAACACATGATGAACAATATACTATGTATGTAAAATTAGATGTATACACGTTATTTAGTTGTTCAATAAATGTTAAATTAAAATATTTGTGTTTTTTATCTATGTGTTCCTAATTAGAAATATAATATGTTTATTTTCTGGCAAAATTTGAATTCATTGCTGCTGAAGTTCTTTGAATATTATTTAAATTTGCGCGTAGACGTGAACCCACTGAAGTTTGGTTGGCCATGGCCTTTTTAACTTCCTTATTGAGAAAATCTTTATCGAATTCTCTTGTTGTGTGGCGTTCCTCCTCGCGAGCATATTCTTCCCGATGTTTGCGTACCACCTCTGTACGCTCCTCTTCACGCCATGCTGCATTTGACATCATTTCTCGTAATTTAGCTTGCTTTTCTTCCTCCGTCAGTCTACCAGAACGTTGAGCAGTGGATCGGCTAGTTTCTTGTATTTGCGGACGTTTATTAGATGTTGAAGGTGATCTTGAATTACGTTTATTTGGCAAACGTACATTAGACACTGAACGTGATCTGGTGTTACGTTTATTTGAATTTCGATATTCTCTCGATCTGGATAGTGATCTTGATTCTCTGCGATTTCTTACTTTGCGATTTCTAGAACGAGATCGTGAGCGATTAGCAGATCTTATGCTTGTTTCGTGTACTCTGTCCCTAGAAAGAGATCTTGATCTTTTACGATCATGTGAATAGTTAGACTTTTTAACTGCATTGTAATTATTTTTATCTCGTGATCTTGAAGTAGATCTGGATCTACGATCTTGCCTTCTTTGCGAATAATTTCTGTTAGCTGGAGATCTAGATCTCCCTCTATTTTCATATTTATTATATCTTTTATCATTGTGAGAAACTTTTCTGTTTTTAGATACGGATCTAGAACGTTTTTTAGTATGATTTTGTTCTTCGTCTGAATCGTCGTTTGTATCTGACTCATCACTTCGGGGTTTATTTTTCTTCGAACGTTTTTTACCCTTTCCGGCCGCTTTATCCAGTTCTTGTGATATCTTTTCAAATTTTGAATCTAATAATTTATTTATATTTAAGCCCATACTGGATGCCTCGTCTTTATCCAACAGACCACCTTTGAGTTTCTTAGCCAATTTACTATCCAAATCTGAGTCAGAGTCACTATCAGAACTACTATTAGAAGATGATGATGAAGACTTGCTTCTTTTCTTATGCTTCTTTTTGGATTTTTTACTCTTTTTGGATTTTTTTGATTTTTTCGATACCTTCTTGAGTTTTTCATCTGTTTTCAAAATACGATGTAATTCCTTCAACTTGACGGGATTTTCGAGAATTTTTCTACGTGATTCCATTTCTCGTTGCTTAATCAACATCAAAGGATCTTCCATTACTTTACGTTGTAGATCTACTTGTTCAGAATTTTGTAGATTTTTATAGGCTCGTATAGAAAATGGTACACATTCGTGTTCTACATGGTTCAATGGCTGCTTAACTCCTACAAGATTTTGTTGCTCTTTTTCCTTTTCCTCCGCCTGCAAAATTTCGAAGGACTTGTCAATTTTGCGTCCCAATAAGTACTCCTCACGATTTATTAACTCTGTGGAGCCTGTGATTAAGAAATAAACGCATTAAAATCTGCACAAGTGCTTTGAACGTTTCTATAAACTTACTTTTATACATCCAGTCCAGTTTTTTATCACCTTCATGGCTGCCTCCCAGAACACCACTCTCTCTACCGATACGTTTTAGTTCTTCACGATTTTTTTCCTCTTCAATTTCTCTACGTAAATCGTTAAGTTTCTTTTCTTCCTGCGTTTTGGCTTGTTCCGCTTTCCATACCCTTTCTTGGTTTTTCATCGTATGTGGATGCCATGATTTCTTTAAATTCTATTGTAATAGTGAAGTGTTAATGAATTATTTGTAGAAAAGCATTTAAATTTAATTATAAATTACCAAATCTCCTCCTCCCATTTTAAATTTATTTTATTTATATTTTTTTATAAAATTTATAAACGCGTCCGCCACAATGCGATAATATAAACAAAAACAAGTAAGAAAGTATAGTCGGGCGTGGTCGACCGTATGATACCATACACCAGTTATGAATATTATATGAGATTTATTTTTCATTATACAGTATTTACCAAAGAATATAGTATTTACCTTCAAAATAACCTTGTTTCCGATACATTTAAGCAATTTATGGACGAAAAACTCATTTTCTGAAAAAGGGTTTATACGGAGTTTAAGGACAAACATTGACCTATCCCGATAAAATTTTGTGATTGGATTTATATTTATATAATATTTATTTGTGCTGAAATTTATTGGTGTTTATATGTGAATTTTGGATATTCAAGTCATTTTTTGAAGGGGACTAGGAGCTAGGGTCAAATGAGGCCCTATCTTAATGAAATTTGGCAAGGTCATCAAGGATTGTATAAAACTTATTTGTGCCACTTTTTATCGAGATACAGGTACATTTAGCAAAATTATGAGCTCAAAGGCCCTTTTCGGGGGGTTCTGTTGTACGGGAGCCAGGTGAAATAATGGGCCGATTTTAATCATTTTTGATAAGCTTCGTCCTTGTGCCAAATTTCATCCAATTATATTAAAAATTGCGACATGTACCTTGCGCACAAGGTTTACATGGACAGCCAGCCAGCCAGACAGACAGACATAGCTTAATCGACTCCGAAGCCGATTGATATACTTTAAGGTATAGGACGAATATTTTTGTGTGTTACAAACATCAGCACAAACCCAATAATATACCCTCCCCACTAAAGTGGTGTAGTGTATAAAAATTGTTCAGCAGCTGATCGAATATGCATCATTCACAATAAAGCCAGTGGTGAGTTTTTCTTGTTAAACAAATTTTTGTACCCTGATCATATTTGAATGATTTAAAATACGGGTTTCGGTATCACAAAATATCGTTAAAGTAATCTAAAATATTTTCAAAATAAACTTTTTAAAAATGTTAGTACGAGAACGACTACTTTAAGAACTTGGAACTCAGATGAGTATGGGAACAGACATATTACAATAATTTTAAAACGAGATAACTTTGGAGGATTATTTCGAAAATATTAAAAACTGTTTATAAATAAATCAGAAATTAAAACGTTTTCATTGCCTTGATTTTGATTCAGTACCCATTTTCAATTAATAAAATACAGAAATAATTTATTTAAATTTTGTTTTAATATTTGTTTAAGATTGTCAAAACTTTCAAAAATGAATTATTTGCAAAATGTTTTGTGTAGCAAAAGCTCCAAATTGATTATTTTAAAATCGTATAAATTCTTTATTAATAATATTATCAGAAATGAATCAAAATGTTCTGCTAGCACAAAAAGTTCTGGATTTAATAAATTAAGCATTGAAAAATTGGATTTGAAAGATAAAAGAGTATTGATAAGGTAAATATTAATAACAAACATTAATAATATTGAATTTGGGCATTAGAAAGGAATCCGAAAATTTTAATTCTTTTTCATTCTGAATAATTATGTATATATGTGAGATGTCCCCATTGTTGGATCTTTATCAAAATTTTTTCAGAGTTGACTTTAATGTGCCCCTAAAAGATGGAAAAATTACAAGTAATCAAAGAATCATCTCCTCTTTGGATAGTATTAGATATGCTTTAGAGAAGCAAGCAAAATCCGTAGTACTAATGTCCCATTTAGGACGACCAAATGGTCAAAAGAATACAAACTTTTCTTTAAAACCAGTAGCAGAAGAATTGAAGAAACTTTTAAATAAAGATGTAACATTCTTGACCGATTGTGTGGGTTCCGAAGTGGAAAATATTTGTAAAGATCCTCCAAAGGGTAGTGTTATCTTACTCGAAAATCTTCGCTTTTATGCCGAAGAAGAAGGTAAAGGTATCGATGCTAATGGCAAAAAAATAAAGGCCGATAAGGAAAAAATCAAAGAATTTCGCAAAAGTTTAGCCCAACTGGCAGATGTTTATGTCAACGACGCCTTTGGTACGGCCCATAGAGCGCATAGCTCCATGATGGGTGAAGGTTACAAATATAGAGCTGGTGGGTTTTTACTAAATAAGGAATTAAAATATTTCTCACAGGCTTTACACAATCCGGCTAAACCCTTTTTGGCTATACTTGGCGGTGCTAAAGTGTCCGATAAACTGCCACTAATCGAAAACATGTTAAATAAAGTAGATGAACTGATTATAGGTGGTGGAATGGCATTTACCTTTCTTAAAGTTATATGTGATATGAAGATAGGAAACTCATTATTTGACAGCAAAGGCTCTGATTTAGTTATGGGAATAATGAAAAAAGCTTGTGAAAAGAATGTTCAAATCCATTTGCCAAACGATTTCATATGTGGCGTGAGAATAGATAATAAAACTGATGTTAGTAATGCTACAATTCAGTCGGGCATACCAAATGGTTTTATGGGTTTGGATATTGGAAATGAATCAAGAGAGATGTTTTCCTGCCTTATATATAAAGCAAAATTAATTGTTTGGAATGGGTAAATAATAAAATATATATGTATATAACATGGTTTTTCATATACTTATTTTTGTAGTCCGCCAGGTGTGTTTGAACTTGATAAATTTTCTCAGGGCTCTAAAGCAGTAATGGATGCTGTAGTTAAAGCTACTGATAATGGAGCTGTTTCAATAATTGGTGGTGGTGATACAGCAGCTTGTTGTAAAAAATTCAAAGCCGTTAAGAAAGTGTCTCATGTATCAACCGGGGGAGGAGCTTCACTTGAACTTTTAGAGGGAAAACAATTACCAGGTGTAGAAGCATTAAGTAATGCTTGACAAGCACTATAAATAAATTTTTATTAATTTTAAATAATATCTAGCTAATAATAAAAACAATTAACATCTAAAAATATGTACATATATTTCTGTAGAAATAACCATCAAATTTTGATTTATTTTAACTTTTACTCAACCTTTCTATAACAGTTTTATGGAAATTGGACACGAACTCTTGATTGAATAACCTACTAATTACCATAATATTTTTGTGAATCTATTTGTAATATTTTGTTATGCTATGGAATACCCATATTCATATGTAAAAACACTCTGGTAACATCAATTTTTTGAATTCTCATTCAGATGATTTTGACATATGTATGTAACTAAAATACAATTCTTGTTGTTTTTGTGAACTTGTCACCACCTTGATGAATATCGGCCATGCTTTGCTCTTTTTTGCAGTTTTTTAGTAATCTCCTAGTATTCTTCTAATCACTGGCAAATAAGTAACGTCTGCTCGCAAAGTTGCTTCTGGTAATAAACACACACTATATATCGGGAATATAGTTGGGACAAAAAAATAAATAATTTCTTTTATTTTATAAATAAACTAAATTTCTGTGTTCAAATACTTTTAAAACAAAAAACATGGCCAATATCTGTGCGAAAACTTTGTTGCCGGCGAACCGTATTTTGGGAGCAACAACAAAAACTACTGTTTGCAGTCAACGTGGAAAGTAAGTGGTGTCTCTAACCTTTTGTACTTAAACATTATCTTGGTTAGATGTTCTTCATCCGGCCGGGTCAATAGAACATTTACACATTGGTTTTAATTGTTAAGCACATGTTGTAAATATTTTTTTAATTTGGTTTATTATAATATTTGCAAAATTTTTTATTTGCTTTCTTTTAATCAATTCGAAATACACGTAGTATACTCATGTACTTGTGGGGGGAATGTTCTAATGAGATTTTCCATGAGTACTTTTTTATTCATACAATAATTTTCTTTCAGTTCTGTATGTTTTTTTTTTTGTTTTTGTTGTCATTCAACGCAAGGTCATATAAAGTGCAAAATAGGAAAAAATTAACGTTTTTTGTTTCTATACCAAAAGTACATGTAGAATTACATTCATACATATGATGTACTATTTGGAGAAGAAGAGAGTTTACTAAGTGAAATGTTTAAAATATATACATTTTACTATTTATCTCATAAAATATTATAATTTATACTAATTTTTATCTATCAAGAGAGTAAAACTTCATAAAAAATTATATTCATATCGTTAAATAAACACATTTTAGTGATTTTGCACAGTGAAGCAACTTGTAACAATAAGTAGCCGGCGAATTTTATAGAGCGGAAACTCAAAAAAAAGCTCAAAAAATGACACCTACTAGTAAATAATTGGGCTCGATTAAATAAAAATAAAAATAATAAAAAATAATTTTTGAGATCTTCATACATACCTATTAGGTATTTACATCACGCATGGAATATTCAGTACTATTGTACTTTTTTCAGTATTTTTTGTCATTGAAAAATACATTTTTCTAAACTTTAGATTAGTTAATAAACTATTCCATAGACTAGTCAAGAGACTACTCCATAGACTAGTTAATAGGCTAGTCAATAGGCCTGTTAATATGCTAGTCAGTAGGCTAGTTAATAAACTAGACAACAGAAAAATACAATTTTCTAAACTTTAGATTAGTCAATAAACTATTCCATAGATTAGTCAATAGACTAGTCAATAATAGGCTAGTCAGTAGGTTAGTGAATAGACTAGAAAACAGACTCGTTAATAAACAAGTAAAAAAAATAGACCCTAGATTAGTCAACTGACTAGTCCGCAGACATGTCAATAGATTAGTCCACAGCTAGTCAATAGACTAGTCTGTTGACTAGTATACTGGATAAGTTAATAGACATACCACTTATCTATATACTTTTCCACATACACTAGTTTAAAGCTTCGAAATGTAATAAAGTACTCAAAAAAAAATGAGTACCATTTCATTTTACATTAACAATATATTTTATGAAAAAATTAATTTCATCTAAAAAGATAATTATTTAATAACATTAAAATTTTTAATAAATAACACAAAATATCTTTTAAATGTAATTTTTAAAATATTTGTTTAATTAATTAATTTTAAAAAATTATTTGATTTTTATCATTTCTTTCCATAGTTCTTAATGTTTTATTAATAAATATATTTTAATAGCGTTGGCCCAAATTAAAAACCCCTTTATATAAAAGTTTTCGAAATAA